GCCACTTCCTGCTGCCTTCTCCTCTCCCTCTTCTTCCTCTCCCTAACCTACCTAGCACTCAAATCTAGGGCTGTCATTTCGGTTGCCGGTTAGCGACTAACCGGTCAGTCTAACCGTTAACCGCCGGTTAGCGGCTAACCGGAAACCGACAATAACGGGGGGCGGTCGGTTGGCGGAGGCTGTCTGTGGTTAGGCGGTTAGCCGATTAACCAACGCCGGTTAACCGACCGACAATACAACCCCGTTTTGGCCTAGCTGAAAAGATCCAACCCATCCCCAACCCTAGCATCCTCCCTGGCTCCCTCAGACCCTCTCGTCTCGTTTTGGCCTCCTCAGACCCTCGTCTCAAAAACGCACAGCCACCAGCCACTCCCACAGCACAGCCGGCGACGACTCCGCCTCTCTCCAATCACCTCGCTGGTCGCCGCCTCCCTCCAATCGCCCCGCCACCTCGCTCCAATCGCCCCTCCACTCGCCGCGCCTCCCGCCTTCACCCGCCGCGCCGCAACCCTCCTCCAGTCCTCCATCACCGCCAGTCAACAGTTCGCCATCGCCGCGCCTCCATCTCCTTGCTTTGAATACTCGATAACAAGAAGAGATAATGTAAGAACAATAATTTTTTCCCCATGTTTCCAAAACAGCGGGGGGGGGGAGGGGGGGGGGGGGATTAGCGGTTTTAGTCCATAATTTTTGGCTGTATGTGATTAGGGGGTTTTGAATTTTGATCATTGATTAGTGGTGGATTGCAGTGCATGAGATTGAGGAGTAAGGCCTGAGAGCTAAGATCTAAAGAAGGGCGGCCCTCCAACCCCATTCATTGTCAGCTAGCTTCATTATAATATGATGATCTATCTGTGTTTTCTTTCTCTCTTTTGTTTGTTAGTCTCAGTTCTTTGGTTGGTTGAAATTAGTTAATGTCCATAACTTCTTGAATAATATTATGTAAGTTAATTAGAAATGTAAAATGATGATGAATGTTGACTTTGATTGATGAATGATGATGATTGATGATTTTGATGATGCTTGTTAGTTGTTACTTGTTAGAATTTGTGAATTTAGTTTTCAATTTTAAATTTGTGTAAATGTTGATGTAGGGCGAGACCTCCGACTCCACGTGGTGGACGTGGCGGACGAGGTGCACCATCCGCTGAGACTGCTTCTCATGGTGGGAGACCTCCGGCTCCTCGAGGTCGTGGTGGTGCGGGTGCCTCAGCCCCTCCTACTCAGAATCGGGGTCGTGGTGGACGTTCAGGGAGTCGGCCTGTTCAGTCTGCTGAACCGTCAGCGTCGGCATAAATTGCATGGACTCCCGCCCATGCCAGTAGTGGAAGTACACCTGCTGCTGAGGCTCCTTCAGTAGAAACGGTTAATCCGGCTTCAAATAAAGCTAAAGACGATCCCTTCAATCTAGAGAGATGGTTGGAGACAAATGGTACAACTGATTGATGGAAGGACTTTACGAAGGTGGCGGTGGATGAGTATCCGATGGGAGAGTGCAAGCATTGTCATACTAAGATCAAAGCATATCCATCCAAGAACGACACTTCTGCAATGAATAACCATCGAAAATCATGTTTGGCTAAGGCTGCAGCATCCAAGGATCAGACTGTTCTGAACTTGAAGGCCGCAGATGGTAGTGGAAGTCAAGTAAGTGCTTTATGGAAGTTTGATCAAGCAAAAGCAAGATATGCCTTACCATGATGATTATTAAGGATGAGTTGTCTTTTCTCTTTGTGGAAAGAGACGGGTTTAAGCAGTTTATGCATACGGTTCAACCACTGTTTAAGATACCTGGGAGCAATGCAGTCAAAAGCGCGATTTTACCTAGAAGCGGAAAAGGGGTAAAGTCGTAAAGCGTAGAATCAAAGCGTAAAAGCGTAAGTTTTTTAGGCATCCTGTAAAATAGCTAAAAATTTGCTAAGTACGACATGCGTTGTATAAAATGTTAGTGTATAAATTATATAGAAGTGAATAACTACCTGCAATAAATCATGATTGATATCATCTTAAACATAAGTTGATAAACATACATCATAAGCAACTCATAAACGACACAGTCACACAGATATCATCTTAAAAATCCAACAAGATGGTTTAAGTTTACATAATGACACAAGTTTAATAATCCAAATTCTTGAAATTGAAATGAAAGCACACAAAAGTTCAAAATGATAGAAAGAAAACTACATTAAATCATCGCCTTCAACATTGGCATCCAATTCATCATTATCATCATCGTCATCGCCATCGCCATCATCAAGTGGATTATCAAATCCACGGTCACCATCAACACGAATAGCATCGCCACCATCACCATCAAAATGAATAGCATCATTGTCTCTATCGTCACCAATAGAAATAGTAGGACCAATTTCAACAGCATGATGACCTTCCTCACCACCATCAACTCCTAAAGCTTCAGCTTGTGATGTTTCTTCTTCAGTGTCACTACCACAAATCCATTCATTCTCGGAGTCTATATCCTCAAAATCAATTTCAAGCCTTCTTGCTTTCTTGACATTACTTCCCACCAACTTGTTGTTGCACATGACACACACAAGATCATTCATCTTTTGTGTTTGAAGGCTGTTCTTTTTCTTAGTATGAATCTAAAAAAAAAAGTTAACATGTAAAAATAATGAATGACAAACAAACCAAACTTGTAAACTTATAACCAACAAACATGATAATTGATATCATTTAAATAAAGTAGAGGCAATTTGTTACTTATCCTCTCAAATGCACTCCAATTGCGCTCACACCCAAAAGCACTACAAGTCAAACTCAACACTCGGATGGCAAATTTTTGAAGCTCTGGCACTTCATCTCCAAATGAAGTCCACCAATCAGCAGGATGATGCCTATCCTTTAAAGTCATTGCACCATATTTGTCAAACATGCCTTGAGCATGATGAAATACATGCAACTGTTCCATAATCTTAAACTTCTCTTCATCATCCTTTGCAACTCTACTCACACATTCATACAAAGCTACTTTCACCTTTGGATCATTATAGTTAAATCCCATACCATGAGAATGGTGAATTTGGAGATTCAACTAATATGCAGCATAGTGAAAGGGCCTACTCATTTGATCTTCCAACCTTTTGTCAATTATCTTCAAGATAGGTTTATATCTACATAAAAGACAATAAATTCACAACTTAAAATAATAAAAAACATAGAGATTTGTCTCATAATATAATAAGAAAACTAAGTTTGAAAAATTACCTTTTTTCCACATTGTTGAAGTTGCTCTTAATCTTCTCCTTTGCTTGGATCATCTCAAAGTATAAGAAAGGCATTTCTGGTTTTTCATCAGAATCAACCAAGCGTAGAACCTTGACTAGAGGTTGAGAAGCTCTAAGGAAAATTGACACATCTTGCCAAAATCTGCCATCAAGTACTATCACTTGAACTCTTTTCCCTTCCCGAAGCATAGCAAAGCCGCTCTTCCTCCACTTGTCAGAAGAGAACATTCTCACCAAGGAACCTTTGTTGTCATGGAGAGATGCCAAGGTCAAATATGATGTAGCGAATCTAGTAACTGCAGGTCTAACCAAATCTTTCCCTTTAGTGAAACCCCTCATCATGGCAATCAACATTGTTCTGACATGAATAAATTTTGTGATCTTTTTACCCTTCCCAATTGTAGTCTTGTGCACCTTAATATTCTTCTCAAAATCCTCCAACATCAAATCCAAGCAATGGGCTGCACATGGTGTCCAAAACAAATGCTTCCTCTTCTCCATCAACATTTGTCCTGCCGCCTTATAAGCTGAAGCATTATCTGTCACAATTTGAGCAACATTCTCTTCTCCAACCTTCTCAACCACTTTATCCAACATCTCAAAGACCTTCTCAGCAGTCTTTAAAATCTCAGAAGTGTCAACAGCCTCAAGAAATACAGTTCCACGAGGATGACTCGCTATGACACAACACCTAACAATGGCCAAGTGTAACCAATGGAAGGGACTGCAGTATAGTGGCTCAAGTGATAAATATCGAATCCACGGGTCTCTAGAGTTACTATTACTCAGCTTCAGTTTATTATTTAGCAAACCAGATTAAGATGAAAGAACTAAAACTACTCTAGCAAACTACAGTTAAAGTTAATCTAATTACAGGTTGGGAACTCACTTAGGTATGATTCCCCCTAGCCACTAGCCAGACAAACAATTGATGATTTCCAACTTGTTTCACTTTCATTCACAATGCGGAGAATCCTTGACTAGACCTTGAGTCTCGACTAAAGGAACAAGGCCCTCTTGAGTCAATTGCCTAGAGGGACGTATCCTTCTCTAGAACAACTGATCAAGGCGTTCTGAACTAGACTCCCTCTATCGAAAGAGGTTCTCAATCGATACAAAGCAGTGAATCAACCCTCGACTAAAGCAATCGATCCACTACTATCAATCTATGGTGCTCTATTGACCTAATCAGGTATTCCCTCTCATAGGATCAAAGCAGAATCAATAATCTCGACTAAAGCAGAATTGAATCATGAAAACATGCATAGATTGAATATGAACTCAAGATTATCAAGTCAGAGTACTCATACAATCATCCAATCAAACAAACATAGCTAGGGTTCTTCAAAACCTAAGTGAAGGGAAGTTACTCCATAGAGAAGAGAGAGACTGCAGTAAGAATCTTCAGATGATCAGTCTTCAAGTCCGGGCTTGTTCCTCGAGCTTTCAAGGCGAAGAAATCCTCCAATTCCACTCCAAGAATGCCCTCAAATCGCCCTCTCTCTCTTTGGTTCGTCCCTTGGGTGTTTGGGATCCAAAACCCAGCTCTCCTTCTCCTTTGGCTCGAATTTGCGTTAAAAAACCTGATTCTGGGCAAAACACGGTCGAGGGCACGGCCGTGCTTTGCTTTTGACCGCCCGTGTTTTTCCCCGTGTTAAAAACACGCTCGCGCGCGTCGGCCAAAACACGGTCGTGCCTAAATATGGGCACGGCCGTGTTTTGATTTAGGCGCGCCCGTGTTTTTACTGCCGAACCTGTTCCCCTATATTCAATGCTTCGTTTCTCCCTCGTCCGGACTCCGAATCAGTCGCCGTTTGATCCCAGACGCTCGTAGTCTTGTCCTCTTTCTTTTCATGACAAGCTTGCATGATTCTTTGTCCATAAATTGAGGTAGAAATTCATTCTTCTTCAGGTCATGCCCGAGTTTCTTCTCCCTAATCGCCAATTGATCTCTGATTGACTTGAAACTTGCGCCTATGCTTCACTTTATGTGCTAGGACCTGAAATGTGACAAAGGAACACAACCTAGCGTAAAATAGGCCAAAGACGCAATAATTAAAGCTCAAACAATCAAGAAACAAAGGGGAAAACATGTGCAAATATCGAGTCATCAAATCCCCCCACACTTAACCGTTTGCTTGTCCCCAAGCAAACCTAACTCAAACCAATGCAGCTCTCCAGACCTCTACAGCAACATGCACCCTCAATCGTTGATAGAGAATTTTCTAGATCATTTAGCAGCTGACGATGTCAACCGACGCACAAGTCATCTCATAGCTTCTTCGGCGAGAACGCTAGTCTCGAGTCGGCATCATGGCAAATAGTGAACATAGGAAAAATGAATCGTGGACAAAGAGACTCTAAAAAAAAAATCATGGACTCACATTTTTCAAGGTGCTCTTATTTTCTTTTTGAAGACGGTTGGAACCCCTTTTCTTTCTGTTTTGCTTGTTTTCTGTTATTTTTCCTTTTTTTTTTCAAGGGTCCCAACCTGCTTTTCAGAAAATGGGGGCTCCCACCTAGCAGAGGTTTTGCGGGAGCCCGGCTCTTACCGGCCATGCCAGGAGCGGGTGTCTCGAGCCTCGTGCGGGGGAAAGACATGTAAGGGGGCTGGAGGTAGTAGGTGAAAATTGGGAACGAATTCCCGTCTCCCCTTACACACTTTCGCCCTATTCGCACGGGAGACGTTATTTTAAAGCACATTTTCGAGCACCTGTTAAACTCAAAACATGAAACAAGAGTCCGTGACAGGTAGAGAGTCCACAACACCACACAATTCAGGGGTCCTAAGATCACTAATTCACTCAATCAACCAACACAATATGAAGAAGAAATGAGACATCTTAAATGCATCAACATCCTCCATAGTGCTACACTACCTCCCTAGGTTGCATATTACTATAAAGACTGTCAATTCAAAGCATACTGAGCAGGCAATTGCAAGGAACACGTACTTGGAGCCCTCAAATCGAAATTTGGACAGTGGACTAGGCTCCAAGCACACAAACAGTCAAACATTCACACACATACATAATCGAACATCCCCCCACACTTAAGCACGACATTGTCCTCAATGGAGGAAAGATAAGGAGGGTAGAACGAAGTTACCATATCAACGGTGAATGATTGTGAATGGGGAAGGCGGTGCATTCCAGGAGGACAAAGTAGTCGAAACACAAACACCACACAAAATCTCACAAAGGTTGAATTATTGACTCTGAAATCAAAGAACAAAACTGACTCAACCGAAGAGAAATAGAGAAAGAAATGCAAACCGACTGGTTGGGTTGCCTCCCAACAAGCGCTTCTTTCACGTCGTGAGCCGGACGAGGGCTCCTAAGTTTCGGTCCATGCCAGAACCTCCTTGAAGTTGAGGTTCTCGTCGATGAGGTGGAGTCTCAAGTCATGAGCATGTGGTGTGGCAGGTGATGAAGGCTCATGTACTTGATGCAGATGAAGTCTCCACCCTCGAGACCTCTTCTTCTCTTCTCTCGTCTCATTGCCCCAAACCAGATATGACAACATCGATTGGCCACCATCGCGTCCACCAAGAGGGACCGATGTCGAGGTGGCCTTGCTCTGGCAAAGAGACACTGCAAATGGGTCCTTGCTAAGCAGTTCCTCGAAGTTTGGTGGAGATATCACATGTAACTCATGGCCAGTGCAGGCCTCTTCCACCTTAACTCCGTCCTCAGCCTGGACGCCAATTGCTTCTTCAACCCCCCTTTCTACTTCATGTGGTATCACCCCTGGGAAATGATCAAGAACTCCTCCTGCTTCACTTTCGTCATCCTCCACAACTTCTTTTTGCACCCTTTGTTGCTCTTCTTCTTCTAGCACGGATTGGAGAGCAAGTTGCCAAGCAATTTCTTTCATGAGATCTTCTTGCATCTCCGCACTCATGCCCGCCTTTTCAAAGCTCAGTTTGGGGTGTGGGAAGGTGTGGTCGGCTACGACATGACACTCTTGATCATGACCATCACGGGAGCTCTCCGTGACAACTTCTGTGTGTTCCATAATGTCCTTGTAGCCTTCTTCTTCCTCCTCCTCTTCTAGTATGGCAGCAGAAGGGTGATCTGGAGCAGGTTGTGCCCAAGATCGCTCAAGATCATCGACGCTCTTCTTAAGGCTCGGGAGGATACCCTCTGTTTCACGATAGGCCTGGACACAATGATCCATACTGGAGCATGATCTCTCCATGAGAAGCCTCAAATCATAGTGTGGATCTGGCTGTGGAGTGTAGCATGGCTCTGCAGAATGGCCCATGAAGGCCGCCATGGGTAACTCCAGCTCCAATGACCCTTCTGGTTGTGGGAGAAATTCTTCTTGGTAATGAGGTTGTTCTTGATATGCCCAGGGGTCCGGTTGTTCTCCGTAGTAAGGGGGTTGGTACTGGAACCCGAATCCATAGTCTTCTCCGCCTTGATTGCTCCAGGGAGTCTCGGGGTAATACCACCCAGATGGTGGTGGATACCCCCAATGATTGGAGAAGCCATTAGGATCCATGATTCAGATCTGCACCAACAAAAACAAAAACACCCAAGTGAAAAGCAAGGGTGGAAAAGAAAATAAACGAAAAACGCTAAAGTAACAAACTTCTGTCTTTCCTAATACTCTAGAAAGTCCCCGGCAACGCCGCCAAAAACTTGACTCGCTATGACACAACACCTAACAATGGCCAAGTGTAACCAATGGAAGGGACTGCAGTATAGTGGCTCAAGTGATAAATATCGAATCCACGGGTCTCTAGAGTTACTATTACTCAGCTTCAGTTTATTATTTAGCAAACCAGATTAAGATGAAAGAACTAAAACTACTCTAGCAAACTACAGTTAAAGTTAATCTAATTACAGGTTGGGAACTCACTTAGGTATGATTCCCCCTAGCCACTAGCCAGACAAACAATTGATGATTTCCAACTTGTTTCACTTTCATTCACAATGCGGAGAATCCTTGACTAGACCTTGAGTCTCGACTAAAGGAACAAGGCCCTCTTGAGTCAATTGCCTAGAGGGACGTATCCTTCTCTAGAACAACTGATCAAGGCGTTCTGAACTAGACTCCCTCTATCGAAAGAGGTTCTCAATCGATACAAAGCAGTGAATCAACCCTCGACTAAAGCAATCGATCCACTACTATCAATCTATGGTGCTCTATTGACCTAATCAGGTATTCCCTCTCATAGGATCAAAGCAGAATCAATAATCTCGACTAAAGCAGAATTGAATCATGAAAACATGCATAGATTGAATATGAACTCAAGATTATCAAGTCAGAGTACTCATACAATCATCCAATCAAACAAACATAGCTAGGGTTCTTCAAAACCTAAGTGAAGGGAAGTTACTCCATAGAGAAGAGAGAGACTGCAGTAAGAATCTTCAGATGATCAGTCTTCAAGTCCGGGCTTGTTCCTCGAGCTTTCAAGGCGAAGAAATCCTCCAATTCCACTCCAAGAATGCCCTCAAATCGCCCTCTCTCTCTTTGGTTCGTCCCTTGGGTGTTTGGGATCCAAAACCCAGCTCTCCTTCTCCTTTGGCTCGAATTTGCGTTAAAAAACCTGATTCTGGGCAAAACACGGTCGAGGGCACGGCCGTGCTTTGCTTTTGACCGCCCGTGTTTTTCCCCGTGTTAAAAACACGCTCGCGCGCGTCGGCCAAAACACGGTCGTGCCTAAATATGGGCACGGCCGTGTTTTGATTTAGGCGCGCCCATGTTTTTACTGCCGAACCTGTTCCCCTATATTCAATGCTTCGTTTCTCCCTCGTCCGGACTCCGAATCAGTCGCCGTTTGATCCCAGACGCTCGTAGTCTTGTCCTCTTTCTTTTCATGACAAGCTTGCATGATTCTTTGTCCATAAATTGAGGTAGAAATTCATTCTTCTTCAGGTCATGCCCGAGTTTCTTCTCCCTAATCGCCAATTGATCTCTGATTGACTTGAAACTTGCGCCTATGCTTCACTTTATGTGCTAGGACCTGAAATGTGACAAAGGAACACAACCTAGCGTAAAATAGGCCAAAGACGCAATAATTAAAGCTCAAACAATCAAGAAACAAAGGGGAAAACATGTGCAAATATCGAGTCATCAGAGGACTATTAACCAAAAAGTTATAAAGAACTCTTCTTTTCTTATCTATCCATCCATCAGACATTATAGTACAACCCACCGCCTTCCATTCAGATTTAAACACCTGCAATTTACTCTCCACTTCCTTCAATTCTTCTTTCAGATAAGTCTCCCTAATCTCATGATATGAAGGAGGTTTAAAACCAGGACCATGTCGAGCTACATCTTCCCACGTCTGATTATATTTAGAACTTCTAGTTGCATTTCTTCAAAAGTGCACTTATTGTTTTTTGTTTACTACTACCACTGCCTCCAGCCACATTTGAATGAACTGAATCCCGATTTGGAACATCACTATCATCTACATTCCCACCAAGACCAAGATCATGAAGCTTCCTTATCTTAGCCTCCTTCCCTTCTTCATTCAGATGGAGTAGCTCTAGCATTTTTGCCCTCACTTCATCTGGAACACTAACACAAGCCACGAAACCTTTCTTGTTCCTGCAAGATGATGCTTGAATCGGGAAATACCACATACTTCCTTGTCACAGTAATTGTACCTCACTTTCTGCCCAGTGCCAAGTACATCTACACCATGCTGCCAACCGGGATCATTACGATTTCTCGGTGCATTTTTCCTCTTTGCTTTACTATTTGCCACAGAATTACTTGCACTAGTACCGACACCACCGCTCGACATTAGTACAATTCTTCAAAAAGAAAATAGACATTCAAATCCAAGCAATTCAGTTTTGCTAATACCAATTCCAAGAACATAATTAAACTTCATTAATCATTACAACAAAATAATACCACTGGGCAATATAGAAATGTGGGTTTCCTCTTTGCTTTACAATTCACACACAAGCCACAAATAAACAGCAAACTGCAAACATAAAGAAAGAAATAAAGAAAGACAGACTTACGAGCAGACTGCAGAGCACGATGAGGCTGGAGGATGGCGGCGGGAAAGAGTTGCTGAGGACGGCGGCGGCGGTTCCTGATGCAGCCAGCGGTGAAGGTCGGCGACTCGGCAAAGGTTGATGCTGGAGGACGACGACGCCGCGAAGGTTGAAGGGGAAGGACGACGGAGCCGCTCGGTTGTGGGAGAAGGAAGACGGCGTTGCTGGGTTGTGGGAAAAGGAAGAAGGCACCGGCGGCGCAGCTGCGTTGTGGGAGAAGGAAGGAGGCGTCGCCGGCCGCTCTGTCGTGGAAAGGGTTGTGATGCTGCAAAGTGGAGAAGAAGAATTAGGGTAGAATGAAACCTTCGAGTCGACAGCAGCACCTCACCCATTTCGGTCTGATTTTTTTTTTTTTTAAATTGAAACACCTTAAAACAGCGCCGTTTTGGCTCATTTTGGCCATTTCCGGACTGCAATCAAAATCGTATAAAACGGACAAGAAACGCGTTTTTAACGTTTTTTCCGCTTTTACCGATTTTACGACCGTTTTTGTGCGATTTTATATAAAATGCGAATTAACGTAGAAACTAAAGCGTATTTTTAGGTTAAAATGGTAAAAACGTATGTTTTTACGCTTTAAAGCGCGATTTTGATAGCATTGCCTGGGAGGAGAGGTATAAGAGATTATTGCTTTCATATATTCTTGGAGAAAAAGATGAATTTGATAGAGTTTTTTGAATCAAAGAGCAAAGGCAGAGTTTCAATCACTACAGATACGTGGACTTCTGACAACAACAAAAATTACATGTGTGTGACTGCTCACTTTGTTGGACATGATTGGAAGTTGCAGAAGAAGGTGATCTCCTTTGTTCCCATCACAAGTCATACAGGAAATGATATTGCAGAGAAGCTTGCAGAAATTCTTGAAGAATGGAAGGTGAAGAATCTATTCTGCTTGACCATGGACAATGCATCTACAAATGATATTGTGAGTGATTGCAAGAGAAGGAAATTAAAGGAGTGGGGGTGTGATTTGATGGATGGGAAGTATCTTCAGTTTCGATGTGACACACACATCATTAATCTGGTGGTGCAGGATGGATTGAAAGTAATCGGAGGAGTTGTGGATAGAATTCGGGACTATGTGAAGTGGGTGAGGTCATCTCCAGCTAGGTTGGTAAGGGTCAAGACTGCTATGCAATTTCTGGAGTTGGATTCTACCAAATTGGTGTGTTTGGATGTACCGACCAGATGGAACTCCACCTATATGATGTTAGAAGCAGCAGAAAGGTTTGGTGGAGTGTTTACCACTTTGTATACAAGAATACAAGATCATTCCTTCAGGGATTATATTGACGCAAGAGGTGGTCTTCCAACTAAACATGATTGGAGTCTGATTACAAAGTTGGTGAAGTATCTGAAAGTCTTTAATGACTTTACCCTCCTAGTCTCGGGTAAGTGAAATTTTTGTTCACTTTGTTTATTTTAATTTGAACATTTGAGAATTTTGATTTGTTTAAGTCTTATTTCCTGTATTCTATTCTCATTTGTACAGGAACTAAATATGTGACTACCCATCTTTTCTTCAAGAAACTTGTTCCAATTTATGACATCATTCAGGAATTGAAGAATGATCTGCGTGAAGAACTCAAAAAGATGGCAGAAAAGGTTGAAGAAAAGGTACAAAAGTATTGGTTTGACACACCTGTCATGAATGATGAGAATCCTCGGGTGAATCATTTAATTTATATAGCATGTGTGCTTGATCCTAGAAGTAAACTTGATCTTGTGTCTGAAGTGTTGGTAATGATTTATGGAAGTATCAAAGGAGGGGAAATTCAGGCTACTATTAAAAGGGAGATGCGCCAGATGTTTGAGATTTACAAGAGGAAGTATGGATCAGAGTTTGCATCTCAGCCTACCACTGATGATAACATTGCTGATGATAGTTCTGCTGATGGTGCTGGTGATCAGATTAAGATATTGGAGGAGAGGCTTAGAAAGAGAAAAAGGGAAGCACTTCTGCTAGAAACAGGAGGTAGCTCTGCTGAGCTTGACATCTATTTGAAATGTCAAACTGACGGCATCAATGAATAGAGTGATGATGCAAAGTTTGACATATTGGAATGGTGGTCTCGACACTCTGGAATATATCTGATTGTTGTTGAGATGGCTAAGGATGTCCTAGCTGTTCCTATCTCTTCTGTTGCCTCAGAGGCAACATTCAGCTGTAGCGGGCGGATTCTCAGTCCATTCAGGTCCTCTTTGAGCGACCTATTGATGGAGGAATTGATTTGTGCCGAGGATTGGATAAGGTATCCCAGATCCAGGGAGATTGACGATAAGGAAGATGATGAAGAGAATTTGACTTTGGAAAGTAGTGAGTTCTCAAACTCTCTTATTGTTCAGTTTTTTGTCTTCTTTTCACCTAATTCAATGTATGAATGTACTAACACTTTCTTTTCCTTTTTTTTCTTACTTAGTTAATGTCACTTTCCAAACTAGAATGGAAAGTGCAACGAATACTGGCAATGTTGGCAATGTAGATGCAAGCCTCAACATTCCAGTGGAGAATGAGTAGGAGGGTGAAGAAGATGTACCGGAGGAAGAGAAAGAAGGATATGATGATTATGTTCATGACTTGTTTCCCCTAAAGAACGAACAGGGTTATGCAGATTTTGGTTCTTCTAAGGCTGGTGATAAGTGATGATAGATTATGATGTATTGTTGATTTGTTGTTATCTAGAGGATTTGTTGTGATTTGTGGAGTTTATGTTGT